TACTCATGTACGACCCACATACACAAATACACCAATACACAGATGGACATAAGTGTATACAAAGGCCTATAGTTTTGAATGTTGGCAGTGTTATGATCAGATGATGACTTTATCACAGTTTAGCAGTTTTGCATAACAGTGTTGTAGATTAGTTAAGAAGAAATAGAATGGGGTTTACACCCACATAGGCCTGAAATACAATCATGCACACACAGGGTTTATAGACATGCAACTGTGAAGAGATGGTGGAGTGATGGGCTGCCACGTAGCGGCACTCCTGGAATACTTAGGAATTAGGTGCCTTGCTCAGGGGCACCTCTGCAGTGCACAGGAGGTGGAACTGGCACCTATAAGTCCACACGCCATACTGTGGTCCGTGCTGGACTTGAACCGGCGACCCTCCAGTTCCAAGCCAAGTCCCTACAGACTGAGCTTGAAGTTTCAGTTTAAAAAAAATTACTTGAGCTGACCGCTTCTGGACAGGAATCTGAACAGACACTGGCTCCATCTTAACATCTTAAAAACAAGGAACCTTAGCAGCTGGCCAACACTTTCAATTAGTAACCATTAGAATAATGAATCGTAGAAAGATGGCATGGGTTACATTGTTATTAACAGTCAGTTCGATGCAGGATTGCTGATGAAAAGTATAAAAGTATTAGTCAATTAAAGGTTTATTGTCAAGTAATAAAAATGCATGAGTCACATTTGAAAAGGACATTAAATTATCTCTAACTTTCTACAATTTTTTACAAGAACCAATGATTTGCTAGATCTTTAGCAAAGGCTGGTGGGCAATGTCATGATGCGAAATCATGACATTTTACTAGTAATGATTCTTATACGTCGAGATGTTTCATGCAAAAATAATATTCATAAATGTGTTGTTGTAAAAGTAAAGCACATTTTAATGCAAAACACTATTCTGTGACAGCATCCCTTTACGGAAATATCTCCCTGCTGACAGATCACCAGTCTAATGTTTGTAGCTTTTTTTCTCATAGAAAACAAAATACATAAATGCTGTTACACTAAAAGTTTGACTGAGCTTTGGTAATTTGATGCTGGTGACTCATAAGTGTTGCACTACGTCAGCGCATTTACACTACATGCCTTCTCTTTCCAGTGTGCTGCTGCCCTCTAGTGCCTCTCTGCACAAACTGCAACTGTAGCATTGTTGAGTAAAGTTCAAACACTGACGGCCAGAAAGAATATTGGTGGGAAACTGCAGCAGTCTATAAGAATACTACTGACAAACTTGTTAGACTACAGTTTTCCAAAAGGCAGCACACAACACATGTAACTGTAGCTGTATCACTATAGAACTGCATTACTGAGTGCTTTCCCAGCTGCATTAAGGCCCAACAAGGAATAGCAATGTGTGTGGTTATAGGAATAGAGCATAATATTGCTTGATCAGTGGGTAACACTTTCTCCTCTCTCACGTGCTTGCAGAAGCTATCTTCACTGACGTTATTTGTTTTCCAACACGTTGTGTGAGACCAGGCTGTTGTTTTCATGGGTGAGCTCAGGGTGTGGCACCACATCTGTTATTCAGCACATGAAGCATGCAGACACCTTACATCCATAACCGCTTAATGTGTCGAAACTATAATATTTATATATTTACAAGTCACAGTGGGCTGATGGGTTCAGATTTTTGAGACTGTAACAAGATTTTGTGTTTATCTGTGGGGTATCGCAAAGGGATTTTATGTAATTTTCTTTAATTTGAACAATTAAGCAACTAACAAATAAATAAGAATGAAAGAAGAATGCGCTAATCTTTTATCTTTCCCTTCTGCATACGTTACATCCTGTTGAAAAGAGAAAGAAAGGAGTAACTATAGCATCTCCATGCAACAAGCTCCCCCAGCAACAGTAAACTTTTGGGTATCTATTTTCAGTTGGCATAGGTGAAAAAAGCAAAGGGTGCTGACACTATCTAAAAATACACTGGTGTGACTTCTTCCCGCTATGTGATTTCCAAACCACTGAATGGCAATGTTTGATGAGACGAGAAGACAAAGGGACAAATTTAAAGACAAAATTCTCAGGTTACAGTATGGTTTTAAGGTGCCACTAGTGGACATCACCATTATGAATTTCTTTATTAAAGAAGGCGTACAGTGGTAGTGTTGTGATCACTTATTCATTCCCAGTACTAGTGAGTAAACTAGGAAGAATGTTTCGTTTTTGTCGAGTCTGTCACTGTGAAGAAGTGTCTTTACAGTAGCATCTACAGTAAGCAGCAGGAAGGGAGTGTGTCATACAAGCTGATGGACCTCACCACAACGCTGATCTTTTGTTTATTAAATCTCCTGGAGAGCACGGCTTTATACTTAAGCCTATTTTATCATTCTCAGTTGGAGTAACGATGCTGTGGCTTCGCTCAGATGTGGGTCACACCGTGTTTTGGTGTAAACCAGCTTGGATATGTCCACATCTGTTCTCTCTCTCATGCATTTGTATGCCCATATATACTCACACACACATATTACTTTGATGACACCATAATGTGGGTTCATGTGTGTTTATGTGCTACTGAATACAAGGCTTAAGAATATCAACAGCACATTGTTAGCACCTTATTATAGGCATATTCCTACAGATCACCCGGAGTCACAGAGACCTACTGTACACTGTCATTCTGCATGCAGGCTAAGCCAATATTTATTTTTTGCATAGTACATCATAATCCTGTGTATGGGCTATGATACACCAGGCACTAATTTAGCTGTCAACAGAAGCTAAAAAGAGACGTAAGGAGGAGGGGGTGGGGGGGTGGTGGTCATTACACAAATATCAAAACTGATCAGAAATCGTTTGAGCTAAAAGCGGTCGAGGAAAGCCACAACAATTCTGATTTAATGGACGGCTTTGGCCAAACTGGGAAAAAAACCCCGCTAGAATAACAGTTATCTCACATTACACCCATTATCTCCCCCCTCTCTGACAATCACACACACACACACACAGTCAGATATGAGAGGGAAGGCCTAAAGATGGAGCAGTGTGTGGGAGCTATTAATCTATCGAATTGCTGCTGATCAATAAATGGAAGCATCAGTCGTTTATTTGGCGATTTGGTTTCTTACCGGAGAGCGAGAGCAGCAGCAGCGGCAGCGCCGCGCTCAGCAGCTGAACGCCAGACCTGCTCCTCTGCTGCGCTGGGGAAGACATCTTCTCTCCTTCTTATTAAAAAAAAAAAATGACGCTCTTTATCTCTAGAAAAATGTACCTGGTAGGCTTTAAAAAAAAGAGCAGCAAAGTGTGCTCTCGGTGTGCTCGTTAAAATGCTAAAAACTGTATTTTTTGTGTTAGAGGCAAGACATGGCTGGCAGTGGCTGTAGCCTTATGACGGTTGTTGATCTCATGGTTGTCGGTTTGTTGGCGGTAGAGGAGGGAGGGCAGGACAGCAAGCACACTCCAATAAAATGGAGGATATCTCCCCAACAGATAAGCAAATGACTTGTGACTCTAAATATACCGAAGAGCAACACATAAGCTGAAAAGAGGATTTCAAAAATCAATCAAAAGCGTTGGCAGATGGGTGACAACCTCGGATAAATGAGTGGGCAAACAACATAAATGTACTGTTTCTTCCATAGGGTACAAAGTGGACAACTATATATGCTTAATATGTGTGCTTTTGACTATGTTGATGTTGACTATGACCTTAAACCTAGTTTGGCATTTCTATACTGCAATTTCTTGTTACTTATCAGCTGACGTCAACACAAATGGCCTACCGATATCTGCAGTAAGCTAAAATCGACCCTTGTATGGCCTTCGCTGATTTATCAGTCTGTGTGTATCACAGTTATCGAATCTCAACCAAACTGAGCGATGATGTGTTAGACAGCACTCTATACAGCATCATCAAAACACCAAAAGAGGGAATATACTTTGGATAAATGGTTTTCCATTATCCATTACAGCTCAAGATGCATGTAGATCAATGCCAAAGAACATTGAAGCTGATCTGCAGGCTTGTGGTGGCCCAGCTAAGACACTTTAAATTCACGAATCCTTAAATTTGTCACCTGTATGTGTATGTACAGTGCATGTAAATCAAGATGACAGCCAGTATTGTTGCAAGTGGCCGCAGCAGTTATTGTATGTTGGAAAATTCAACATCTGTATGGTGCTATGGTGCACATCATCAGGAAATGAATGTCTCTATGGGGTCATAAGGATGAAGGGGCTCTACTGAGAGAAACCAGTCTGCAGTGCAGCCAAACAAAAAATTAAGCAGAAGCTATCCATCCCTCCTTTAATCCATTCCTCCATCCATTCTTCCTGGGTGGGAGGCAGGAGGAGAGGATACTGGGAAATAAAAGAGGCAAACACTAACTGATATTCACAGGTATCATGTTTCTGTCCCTTATTTTCACTTGTTACTTACTGGAGGCAAGGAGAGAGGATGCTGGCAAATGAGAGGGATTGATGAAAAGAAGGGAGTGAAGAGAGAGGCTGGAGGGAGACATGGTGTTGCGTGGAGACAGAGGAGCATTAGAGAAAATAAGGAGTGAGGAAGGGAGGAGGTATTACGCTAAGACAGGAAGACAGGAAAAGTAAGAGGCAAGAGGGACTCAGAAGAGAGGTTTTAAAACATTAAGCCATTAGGAGAAGAAAGGAGGCAGAGGAAGAGGCTGGGCTCGTTGCCATTGTGTGGTTAGCAACAACAACACCGCTGACTACAGAGGGAGAAAGAGCTTCCAAATGAATTGTCAAAGCAGGAGAGGTTTTCCATATCCACTTATATTGATCTACTAGGCCTAATACATAGAAATACACCTACAGCAACCTAGCTCAATAACCCCAATAATCACTTTTTGTGTTTGCTGATGCCTTCCATAACATTGTTTACACTAGTTGCTAGAATGACAGTAACTCTATAGTGGCAGCATATTTGATATGCAAATAACACCATCTTTGATGCAAGAACATTTCTAAAATATTTCACTGATGTTGCACATACCTTGATGGCGCTGTTGTTTGTTTTACACTGGGATCTTGTACCTGGGGCTAAATGGTGCATCAAGCTGGGGAATCAGTCCGAACTGTTAACAATCTGTCAGCCTGTTTATTAGGTTAGCACCAGCTGCCCTACTGAGTCCGCTACTGTCAAACTTGTGAAGCAACCAGTGTGTGTGTGTGTGTGTGTGTGTATGTGTGTAAGTGTGCATTTTAACTCTTTTTCACGTTTCATCATTATGAGAGTCCTGAGAGGTTTACACTTCTACATGTTATTTCTGTGCTTGTGTTGTCAGTTTGTTTGCCTACTCAACAGCTTTGTTACTTACTCATTCTTACAGGCCCTTGCAACTTATTTTCTCTGACAGCTTCTTACTCTGCTATGGCGTCATAAACCATTTCTGCCACAGTTAGAACAGTTTTAGTTATTTCACATAAGAGGTTTATGTTTTTGTGTTTTTCTCTATGTTACTTTCAATCAATTCGAAAACATATATGTGATATATTTCTGTGCACCAATCACAGTTTAGCAACATATGAATCAAAATGTGCGGATTTTACCAGCACTATCGAACATATTTGATTGAACCACATCCACCCAGTTCTGATGAAGTCCCCCTCCATTTAAAAATATGTTTTTTTTCTGGTTCCTACATTTGGCTGTTTGAGCTTCACTGTGCAGAATGATGTATGTGCAGAGTTTGACACTACAAGGAATGTCTTCACATTCATCTGCTGAAAGTGGAAAGTTTCTCTGTGCTCACTGAAAATCAGATTTTAAGGGATGAGGCCTATGAGCACGTCACAAATAGTTTGGAAGTCAACCCTGGTCCAATTGGCAACTTATACAAGTGGGATGTAGAAAATCGAAGCTGCCAGTGCACAAACACTGAGAATGGACTTTGCAGTGAAGTAGGAGACATCTTGTGTCCAGCAGGAAAACTTTGGAAATCAACAGAATTTGCATATTCATAGCTCATGTATCAAATGATATACAAATAAAAAATGAAATGTTGGACTGTGGGACCATAAATTAGGAAAATATAAACTCTGTGTACCCCGTGCTGTCAACTTAGTGACTGATTTAGCGACTTTTAGTCAGTCCATCACTAATTGACTTAAGTATTTAAAAAAATATTTAGCATGATATCCAGTACAGTGTGCAGCTTTTATTTGTGTCATGATGAGTTTTGTGTAGTTTGCCATGAAATGTACACATTCATGCTCCTCAGTCAGTGAATCTTTTTCATTTTGGACACTTTATTTCATGTAGCACCAGCCTCAGGCCAAAATGTCCATTTTGCACACATTCTTTAGTATGATGGGCTGTATCAATATTTTGTAGCATTTAGTGGCTGCTTATAGAGAATATATTTAATGAGTCATTTTTAGCATAATTTGTTTAGTATAAATGTGGTAAAACAGTGACAGTAAAAGCAGCATGCAAAAATTACCCAATCTACATTATAAACACAAACCTCATACTGATCTTGTTTAATTCAATCTTATGGCAGTTTTGAAGGCTGCAGTTAGAAATGTTGTGTTGGATTGTGTTGGACTGTAAAACAGTGTCTTTAATCCGGGTAGGAAAAGGTTGCTTTCCTTGGTGATGAATTCCTGCACTCAGTGCGGAGGGGCTCGCCAGCTCTTGCACGCCACAGCACCAACACCAACCAAACTACTGAATATTGTTCAATGTGAAAACCCTTACCACGCATACAAGCATTTATTGACTGATCACACAGATTTGTTTACCAAGCTTTTCGAATGAAACGTACTACAACTAACACCTATTAGAATAAAGCAAATCAATAGAATAACACAAAACCTGTTCTCTTTCTCTCTGCCTCTCTCTCTCTCCCCCTGTCTTTCTGCAGAGAGAAGAAATGTTGCTATAAAGAGTGCTCCTTTGTTGCTAGGCAGCAGGGATATTGTAGAAGAGAGCATCACTGCTGTACTGACTGTTGCTGATTTCAAAGATTATCAGAGGTAAGAGGTCTGTTAAAGTAATGGACTCATAAGGTCCCCGGTATAGTAGTGGGATAAATTGTCTTCAGCTGTAAAAAAAAAAATGAAACAAACAACAGTGGCGTTCAAAAACATGTGCAAAGATATTGCTTTACTTTGCTAATTGTTTAATTGACATATTAGTAGTTTTTTCTCCTCCTTTAGGATCCACAGATTGTTGCCAGCACCGGACTTATCAGCTGATTGTGTTTTTTTTATTATACTGCACTGGATGGAGGTTTGTGTAGGAAAAAACAACAACACATATTTGCTATGATTTGGATGAATTTACTCTTGGAAATGATGTCAGCAACTATGAGCCAGGGTAATCAGCTGACTCATAGTTGCCTAATACTAACATCCATAACACTTTAAAACTCTCTGACATCACAGTTTTTAAGTTTAGGTTAATGAACTTTGGACGCCGTTCTTCAATCAATCCAGCACCTGATCTGAGACACAGTAATTATATGAGGTGAGCCATGATACACTGTCTTTGAACACAAACTCCACCTCTCTGCACCTAAAAACAAAAACATCTATAATCACTCCTTAAACCGAAAAGGAAGAGTGCAACAACAACAGATTGTGGAGCAATCAATCCTTCAGTATTGACAAGCTACCACTTGCCATAGGGTTTGCAATAATTGTTTTTTTTCTGTCCATGTAGCAATTAAACAAAGTAAATGTTAAATTTAAATACAGATTTATAAAAGGAAGTCATTGTCAGTAAGATGGTACACAGTTGTGCTCTTGTCACGCTGAAGGGTTTCGTTTTCAATTACACCTTGAATCAGGGCAGTTAAATGATTGGACTGGTCACTCACAAGTATTGGGATTTAATTGCTGACACAGACAGTCTTCCTCTCTGCAGCCCGAGGGGCCGAGAAAGAAGAAAGAAGAGCAATGCTGAGGAGTGAGAATGCCAAGGATAGTTAGTTGTCTATAAAGAAGTATAACAGCATTTTAGGTTAGCACTCATAAATGCATAATAACAAATTACATTTATATTTATTTTAGTAGTCAAATTAAGGATAACGTCTGTTTTAATTATTCAAAGGTCCGACACAGAGAATAAAATACTCTTCACCTTCAGTAAGAGTACATAAGACGCTATTCTTTCCATTTTCTGTGTAGGTGAGTATCAACACATGCATAAAACACATACGCACAAAGAAACATAAAACTGTACATGTACTTGTCTCTGAATCCAGAAGAGGGTGCTGTGACTCCATGATACACACAGCAGTGCTTTGGAATAAAACTGCCATCATTTAGGCATTATTTATTTGACTTCTTTCTAAACAAACTTGCTCTCATTTTCTTAAGCTTATTAAGCATCAGTAACCCCATCCAAGCCAAAGATAAAATGCTAGGTAAACTG